AAGGGATGCGTGCCACAGTGATTGGTTCAAAGAAGGGTACATAACCCAGGCCTAAGCCAATCAGCTCATGGCATTCCCCTAACCAAAGTTCAGGGTAAGCACATCACCCAAGTGGGTCCTGTCAGAGTGAAGCTCCAGTTTAATTTTTATGGCTAAGAGGAGGAAGGCCTGTCTTATCTTGGATGGTGTGGTATGCAGAGGTGCATCTTGGAACAGTTGGCCTGAAGATAAAGGGCAGAGCAGAGCAGTAAAGAGCAGAGAGAAGAGACTCATAGGGAAACTGAGCCAGCACCCTGATCAAACCCTACCTAAGGCCACTTACCTCTGGACTTGTGGGTCCATGACCTCCTACATGCCCTTTATTGGTGAAGCCGATCTGGGATGAGATTTTGTAACTGGAAGTATGCTCCCTGCTGTGTCCTCTAACCTGCCCGAGTCCTTACCCAATTCCTTGCGCCTCTTGTACTCATTGATGTTGATGTTCACGTCCTGGAGGGCGGAGGTCGCCCTCTGGAGAACAGGGTAGGCACTGGCATCGGGGAGTGTGTTCTCCAGAATTTTCTGCAGCAGCAGTGAGTACTTGGTAATCCTCTGCAGAGGGATGACCAGTAGGAAACTGAGGCCTGAGGGTCCAGCTTGAGGCCTGGGGAAGAAGGCTGGAATTAGGCAGGCAAAGCCCGCCCTTGGGGACTCCAGGGAAACTGGGCTTCTAGTTCCAGCTCAGCCACAGAACTCCCTGAGTGATCTCCAGCCAGTCACCTCCTTCTGTGCTCTCAGTTTCCTCATCTGTCGTTTGTGAGTTCCAGGAGCTGGATGGGTGCTGCTAGGTCTCATCTTACACCTGTTCTGGGCCTTGATTCCCCATCTGTTCCAAACCTGAGGACCAGTGCTCGGCCCTCAGTTCCCTCGCTCACTCAGCAGCAAGCCCAGAGCGCCACTCCCTCTTTCGGGAAACACTTGTTTCTTTGGGCCCCAGAGATGCCCTCTGTCCACACCGCTCTCTTGGCCAACTCTGCGGGGCTCCCTCCCATGCTGGGGTCTCTGGGGCCTCCTCTCCTCCCTCTCATACCTACTTCACTTAGTCCTAAGGCTTTAGACACAGCCCAAACCAGATCTTTGCTTCCTGCTTGTGTCCGGAGCCCCAGACTCACACGGTCAACTGCCTACGTAACATCTCCACCTGGATGTGTCCCAAGCACAGCCCTCCAGATGGGGCAGCCACAGGACATTTCATTGAATAAAATGGTTCTGCTGCTTTAAAAAAGAAAAGCTTTTCAAATGACAGGAGCTTAATGTTTGGAGATGTATTTGAAGTATTTAAAGTAAAAGTCATAACAGCTGTATTTTCTTTTAAATGGTTCAGCATAAAAATCGATGAAACAAACAGCAAAAGATTAACACTGGTTCATATCAGGTGGTGGGTATGTAAGTGTTCATTACATTCTTTTTTTCTATAGGTTTGAAATTTTCATTAAAAAGGTAAAAGGGAAAAAAAGCACATGGGAACTAATGGTGTCAAGGTCTATTCCAGATGCGCCAGTTATGAATGGGCGACTATCTCTCTGATCCCCTTCATGATGACGGCTGGTATTTGCAGGAGCGCCCAAGTCAGAGGCACCCGGGACACATAGGATCTCTCCAACAGTTGTTCATTCATCTTGACCAGTAGCCCTCAGGCCTGGCTTCCGAGAAACCCATGAGGGTTCCATCCAAGTCTCCACAAAGACTCACAAACGCTGCTCAAGACCATTCCCCTCCCGCCTCTCAATGGTACCCTTGGCTCTTGCTCTTTGCCTCAGGAAAAATCTCCAGACCAAACGGTCAGGGAAGATTGGCCATGAGGCTAAAAATAGGCAGAGCAGGTGGGAACGCCATCACGAGCTGCAGGGAATGGGGCGGCAGGGCTGCGATCCGACCATCAGGACACACCTACGCCGACCATCTGCTCTCCCCAGGGGCTTCCTAGTGCCCGGCTGACCATGGCGGGGGAGGTGGATGCCATCGCCAGGTATTGGCAAAACTCTGTCCTCTGGCCTTACTCTCCAAAGGAAAGGGCCAACTGCCTCACAGGGACAACTGTCACCTCACAAATCAGAGGGCAGGGGGTCTTCAAAGAGATAATCACATTTCTTCTCCATAACTATCAAGGCGTCACACTACAGAGTGACAGCAGACTCTGACATGCATGGCTTTTCTAATGTAATCTGGAGAAAAAATTGTATGCAGCCTTTCGGATAGACAACAAAAATGACAACATAATGCCTGAGCTAGATGAGTGCGAGGCAACGGGCCCCCAGGTAGGGGAATCAACTGGTGAGATCTCCTAGGAGAGCAGTTTGGCAGCATGTGAAGTGCACAGACTCTTTGTTCCGTCAATCCGAGCCCAGTCATCTACTCCCAGAAATATCAACTCGAGCAAGCGAGGTGGAAATTATTCAGCAACTATATTTATGACAGTATAAAATTGGTAACAAACCAAATTACCAACAGGTAATGGTTAAACCATAAACCTGCCCTGGAAAAGAACTCTCTGTAGCCATTAAGTAGTTATTTGAACTTGCTTGTGCATGCATAAAGGAACTCTGCAAAGACCCATAAAAATTTTTAAAGCGGCTGCCTTAACTTTGGAATGAGAGTTGTAATCGAGTGGGTGAAGGGACGGGGTTGAGAAGATTTTCCTTTTTTACTGTATAAATATGGATGTTTTAAACATTTTGAACCGAGTAACTATGTTACCCATTCAAACTGTAATTAAATTTTTTGTAATTTAAGAATTTATTCATTTATTTTTAGAGAGGGGGAAGGGAGGGACAAAGAGAGGGAGAGAAACAGCAATGTATGATTGGTTGCTCTTCACATACCCCCAGGTGAGGACCTGGTCCACAACCCAGGCATGTGCACTGATTGGGGACTGAACCATCGATCTTTCAGTTTGCAGGGCTGCACTCAATCCACTGAGTCACACAAGCCAGGGCTAATTTTTTTTTTCTCTACACATCTCGGCCTGGCGCTTCCAAACACTGGTGTCAGCTCTGGCTGTGATGCCACCCAGGGCTGTTCTGATCCTTTTCCATGGGGCAGGACTTCAGCCACCTGCAGAGAGGCCTCCCCAGGCGATACACACATGCTTCCCAACACTGTTGCTCACGGCACGTGGTTCCTCCCACTTCACTGCCCTTCCTATGGAAGTCATGAAAGCTGTCCACCAAATGTTTCTGCTCTCCACTTTCTGACTCAGGGTAGGACAGCACACCCTGCCTCCTGGTAGTTGGATAAAGCCACGGGATTAGTTCTGGCCCCATGAATTGAGGGAAGCGATGGCTATCATTTCCAAGCTGGAGCATTCAGTTACCAGTGTTGAACCCTCCAGAGCTCTTTTTCCCTTTGCCCCAATTACTGGCAATATTCCAGACAGGGGCTGCTGTCAGCTTGGGTCCCAGAGTGAGGATGATGCAAAGAGCCCCCAGCCACCCTGCAATGGAGCAAAAGGAAGGTGTAAGCCTTTGTGGTTGGGAGCCACTGAGAGTTGAGAGGGTTCATGTCTGTAGCCTAGCCTAGTCTGACTGGGACATTCGGGAAGCGGTGCGAGCATCACCAAATGGAGGTGAGGCCTTAACAGTCCCTGACCTTGGGGTCACTGCAGCGCAGAAACAAATGCACACTGGTCTTCCTACTCACACCACGGCCTCAATGATGCCCCGGATCTCCTGCTGCAGCTCTGGCTCCCGCCGGTACGACTCCACCAGCAGCAAGGCCTTGTCGTAGTTGGCACAGTAGACCTTATAGACTCGCTCCAACTCTTCTTGGAATTCCAGGAATAAGTTACCTGAAAGTGAAAAAGCAACAAGGAGCTCACAAAGGCATGTCTATCTGTCCCTTTGCTTGGGACAGGGAGGTAATGAGTGAGACCACTGCCAGAGTGACCACCTTTGTCACCTTGGGCAAGCTGCCTCAGCTTCCTGGGTTTCCATTGGTCTCATTTGACTTCCACAAGCACACTGTAAGGATCAGTGACAGAACACTGTATAGAGCTCAGGCTGATGAATTGTGAGTACTTAATGAATGGTAGCTATAATTAGAGCAACAATATTGATAATGCTCATATTTGTACAGTTGACAAAACACACCCATGTTGTATCTTTACGATGACTGTGTGTGGCAAGCACAACCACTGACGCCCAGTTTGCAAAGACACGCTGCACCATAGCCCAGGAAGTGACGGCACGGCAGGGCTTCGGGCTCGGGGAGGACTAGGGCCAGGTCTCCAGTCAACCCTTTCCCAGCTGCACAGCCTGGGTGAGCCTGGACCCCTCCAACCCTGCATTTTCCCATCTGTAGTTTGAAATAAAAATACTACTCACCTGCAAGTGTTTTTTCTTTTGATGAGGATTAAGTGAAATAATACATGTAAAGCATTTGACACAAACTTCACTCACCAAATATTTACCAACTGCTCATTTATTGACTATCTGCCAAGCACTCTTCTAAGCTCTGAGAACAGAACAAAACCCCTATCCCATTGGGGCTTATATTCTGTGGGCAAGGTGGACAGTAAGTAAATATAGTCCATATGCTAGGTGGTGATGAGTACCACGAACCAAGACACAGGCAGAAAAAGAATTAGAAAGTGGCAGATCTATTTAGGGAAGGCTTCTGTGAAAAATGTTAACCAGAGACCAGAAGTACCCAGCCCTGGGAATGTCTAGGGGAGAGCAGCTTACTGGGCTTAGGGAGGAACAGATACAAAGGCCTGACGGCAGGTGGGCACTGGGCATGCAAGTAAGAGCAAGAAGGCAATTGTGCCCGGAGTAGAGTGAGCAAGGGCACAGCGTTGACAAAATAAACAGGAAACTGAAGCCAGATCGTGGAGAGCTTTGAAGGAAAGAAGGAAGGAAGATGGAGTAAGGTGTCTGGATTTTATTCTAATGGTGGTAGGAAGCAACTGGAGGGTTTTGAGCAGAGGTGACATGATCTGGTTTCTGTTTTAAAAGGATCACTATGGTCTTCAATTTCAGCAGCCCCTACGCTAAAGTTAGAACAGTATAGACAAGATTAGCATGGCCATTGTACAAAAATGACATGCAAATTCGTGATGCATTACATACATTTAAATCACAAACTTATGAGATTGGCTATTTGTAGGGTGAGAAGGAACAGATGGGAAAGGATGAGGAAGTGGGGTAGGGTGGTAGGAATGAGAGGCAATGCTTTGCTGAATACCCTTCTGTATAGCTCTGACTCTTAGATCCATGAAATGTTTCACACACTTCCAGCATGTATATATGTGTATGTGTGTGTGTATATGTTTTGTGTGTATATATATATATACATATTTGTATATACAAGATCTGTCCCGAAAAAGTCCAGCTATTGTTAATATAACAAGAACAGTTTGCGTGATATCGATGTAACCTGGCAGCCAAGGAGAGTGGACTGGAATGTGCATGCATGGTCAATGATGACTTCACTGCACTAATCAATGGGGGTGGTAGACACTGTTGAGCGAGCATGTGTACTGTGCGGCCTTTAATTCAAAATGACTGAGTGAGTAGTGCAATGAATCTGCATCAAATTTTGTGTTAAGCTTGAACATTCCTCTGCAGAAACTATTTGAAGGATTCAGAGGCCACAGCTATGGGCAACTGGTGATTGGCAGGTTCATCATGACAACACACCCACTCATGCATCACATCTAATTCAGAGTTTTTTTAGTGAAACATCAAATCACCCAGCTGACTCGTCTTCCCTATGGCCCAGACTTGGTGCCCTGTGACTTCTGGCTTTTTCCAAAACTAAAATTACTTTTGCAAGGGAAGAGATTTCAGACCATTCATGAGATTCAGGAAAATATGATGTGGCAGCTGATAGTGATTGGGAGAACTGTGTGAGGTCCCAAGGTACTTACTTTGAAAGGGACCAAGGAGTCATTGTCCTATGTACACTGTTTCTTGTGTCTTGTATTTTCTCAATTAATGTCTCTATTTTTCATATTACTTGGCTGGATACCTTCTGGACAGGCCATGTGTGTGTGTGTGTGTGTATGCCATGTAAATATATAATATATATATATATTATATAACACATATATTATATATATTATGTCATGTAAATATATAATATATATGTTATATATAAATGTAATTAAGGCCAACCAGGTGTGGAGGGGGAACCCCAAATGGAATACAAGCAATAAGAATTTATTACAAACAAATAACATAATCACAGTGAATAGTGTGGCAAGGAAATTAATATAAGTATCTGTTTTTCACAGTGGTACTGTTAGTAATTGTGAAACTACTTTACGTGTATGCTAACTTTGAACAACTAAGTAAATATATCATAAATAATGACAGCCATTTCTTTCTGTCAGAGAAAGATGTTACAAATAAGAAAAGGGGGAAGGTTAGAATAAACCTTGTGATGCTGGTGGAATTGGAGGTATCAGTGTGAACTCATGGTTTTAAATATATAAAGATAGATAAATAAATACAGAAAGAAACATAGGTATGTGTATATGCATGTAACAGCATGTAAACATGCACTTCCTAGCTCTATCAGCTGAGAAGGCCCCAGGAGCCATGACACCCCAGGAGCAGTGAGCACACCTAGAGGCTGGAACCTGGTATCTAAATACCACTCTCCAAAGACAGGAGCCAGGGCTCCGAGGGGGAACAGCTAGTTCTAAGGATGAGGTAAGGAAGATAGAAGATGACCCTGAAATGTCCTGTGGTGTCAGAAAGTGAGGAGGTACTCAAAAATTGTTAGAGGCACATTGAAAGGACGCAGGAGCCAACTTGAAGGAGCTCACCATGGCTGACGTTGGTACAATTTGAGCAAGAAAATAAATCACGATAGTACTAATTTCTCACTCACAGAATAAAGTAAAAATCCACGAGTCCATATTGATATAAATAAATAATTGAAGAAAAAACTAATGGGGAGGAAAGACAGTTCTTCCTTAAAAGATAATTTTAATTAATAAATGTAAAAGGAGAATAATGGAAATAGAAAATCACCATTAGAATACCAGTAATAATTATTGTAGCAAGAACCATTGATGGACATTAAAATTGACTAAAGTTTGAAAAGAAACAGAACATTAGCATAATGGCAAAGTTTCTCTCCACAAGTATTTATTAATTACAAAGGAAAAAACAGTAACATTACAGTGGGAAATCTAGCAGATACCACCTTCTATCAGCTATGTGATCAAAGATAACACTATTCTAAGTAATATTATGTAGTGTAATCATGTGATATGATGCACTGAGAACTTGACATTGACTGTGATATGCCTGCCAAAAATGTATAACCTTAACTTAATAACTAAAATGATTATAATTTTATAAATCATATTATAATGTTACAAAATATGAAATTTGTATTATAGCACAGACTCATAAAATATGGATTTTATATGTAAACTTTTACAAAATATATAAAATAATTTTAGTTTTAATAACTGAAAGCCTCAAATTGGGGAGTTTTCTATAAACTTAAACTGTTCAGAAGAATTATGGTGACTAAAGACAAAAAGAGACTAAAGAACTGTCACAGGCAGAAGAAAACTAAGGGAACATGACAATAAAATAAAATGTGATGCCCTAGACTGGATCCTGGATCAGGGGGAAAAAAAAGTTCACAAGAAAACTGGTAAAATCTGAATAAGGTCTGTTGCGTTAACAGTGTTAATTCCCTTGTTTCAATAAGTGTACTGTGGATAGGTAAGACGTTAAAGTTAGGAGAAGCTACATGAAGGCTATATAGGAGCTTCTGTATTATTTTTGCAACTTTTCTGTAAATCTAAAATTATTTCAAGATAAAAAGTGTAAGAGGAACCTTGGAGACATAGTACAAAGTGGAGTAAGCCAGACACAAAAGGACGATGCGGCACAGCTGAGAGGGGCCTCCTGGCGTGCCCAGACTCGTGGGGACAGGAAGCAGCCTGGCAGCGACCAGGGCCTGCGCAGTGGGCATTTTCAGCTGAGGACGAGGCAGCAGTTCTGAAGATGGGTCGTGGTGACAGTGGTACGACAAGGTGGACTGCCTGATGCCACTAAATGTACACTTAAAAGTATTACGATGGTACATTTTATAAGTTACGTATATTCTACCACAAAAAGTTTTAAATAAAGTTTTTTAAAACACTGCACACTAAGGTTATAGCAGCCTTATTCACAATTGCCAAATCTTAGAAGCAACCTGTTGTCCTTCAATTGTTGAGGGGATAAACTGACCACAGCCGCAGTGATTTAAAAAAGAGAAATGAGGTGTCAAGTCAGAAAAAGACATGGAGAAACTTAGGTGCACATTACTAGAAGAAAGAAGCCGCTCCAGAAAGGCTACGCACCCTATGATTCCAGCAACATGACGTATGGAAAAGGCAAACTATGGAGACGGTAAAAGGATCCCTGGTTTCGGGTGTTGGAGGACGAAGAGGATCAAGAGGCAGGACACAGAGGGTTTTTAGAACATGACATTGTATCAGTCTAAAGTCCACGGAACTGTACAACACACAGAGTGGGCCCAATGTACACTACGGATTTTAGCCAATAGTATATTACTATTCATTCACCTGTTATAGTAAGTGTGCCATGCTAGTGTAAGATATTCACAACAGGGAAAACCCTGCATGTGAGGGAGAAGTATATGGGAGTTCTCTGTATACTTTCTACCTAATTTTTCAGTAAACCTAAAAGTGCTCTAAAAAATAGTCTGTTAGCTCTATACTATGTGGAGGCTCAACAGGGATCAAGAGTGGTAAAAGGAAGAGCTGTTAGAAGCTGCTACAAATACCCAAGCAAGAGTATTTGGTTGTCCATGGGGGGGGAAGCGGTGAGGGTGAAAAGAAATGTGTTGACCACACAGGGCAGGTGGGGAGCCCTGGACTCCAGGAAGCCGAGCTGACCCCCATGCCTGCCAAAGCTATGGGCTGGACCTCTCCCCTGGACCGAGCCCCACTTGGGACCATCAGTGGTACCCAGACCAGCGCAGTCCAGCCTCCCACAGCAGCATTGCAGCTGCTGCCCCGGTGCTGGCCCAGGACCAAACTGCCGCCCCGGTGCTGGCCCAAACTGCCGCCCCGGTGCTGGCCCAGTGACTCCTCAGAGGGAGCTCCCTCAGGAGAAGCCCCAGAACTAGGGAGGGCATGAGCAGGAACGGTCACCCAAAACTACAGGTAGGAGGATCAGTGTGTCAGGGAGATCCGCCAACTGCAGAGATGACCTCCACCGAGAGACAACTTGGGTGTAGCCATGAAACCTAAGGCAGGTGCCACCTTCTCCTCCACATGGGTGCTTCCACGGGAATGTGGATGAGGTCAAAGGCACTGCATCACACCACTATGGCCAGGGATGGGCACTTCCCCGTAACTGAAGGTCAGAGGAAGGCTCACTCCCATAGAGCAGAACTGTCCAAAGAGGCAGGAATTCCCTGGGACAAGGTAAAGACATATTTCCTCCTTCTTGTCTTTCTCCAGTCACAGAGTGGAAAGAAGCCATAGCAGCGAAAAAGTTACTCCAACTATCTAAAGGATGTTGTACCTCTCGCTGGGATTAGTTAGAAAGAAGAGAAAAGCAGGCAGAATGGTCAAGAACTAGGGTTCTAGAGTCTGAAAGAGCTAGCTTCAAATTCTCATTCTCTCTGGTCAAGCTGTGTGGCCCTGGGAAAGTTACTGAACCTCTCTGGGCCTTGGGTTTTCTTTCGTAAGATGGGGATAATAATAGTCAATAAGTTATGGTGTCATGGGAATGAAAAAAGCTACTACATGTTAAGTACTCGTGCTCTCGATGGGTTGGACTAGATGTTATTTGAGGGTTCTGCCAGCTCAGACCTGCTGTTTCAGGGATCCCAAATGCAGCCCTCCACTGAGCTGCATTTTTCTGGAACTCTGGACACAGTTCTGCAATGACCAAATGCTGAGGACAACTCCACAGGAATCCAAGGCTGACAGCTGCCTCGTCTTTTGCTTACCAATTAGCTGCACTTGTTCCTCTTCCCTGGAGTCTGTCTCCTGCAGATCCTGAAGCAATCTGCTGTTCACCTTGATGATATCATCGGTGTTTGAGAACAGGACATCCAGATCTCCCTGCGACAGCTGGAAGGAGCAA